TTTTTTTTTTTTTTGGTTTTTCGAGACAGGGTTTCTCTGTGTAGCTCTGGCTGTCCTGGATCTCACTCTGTAGACCAGGCTAGCCTCGAACTCAGAAATCCGCCTGCCTCTGCCTCCCAAGTGCTGGGATTAAAGGCGTGCGCCACCACCGCCCGGCTCGAGTGGTTTTCTTAAGTGGTCATCATCATGTATATTTTTCTACACCCCAAAACCTGCAACTTCTCTTTTGTCTCTTACTCACAGCACCCAAAGAACCTGTTGTTCCTGTTGAAACTGGTCTTAAGCCTACCAGAGAGCCAGTTAATTTAAGATTTATGTAGACAGCAGGGCAGTGTTTAACAGTTTGCAGCTCTTACCAATCAGTTCCTGTCTCCCTTCAGGTGTGCCTGACTTGCTGCTCCAGAGATGTCATCATTAAAGTCGACCAGATCTGTCACAGAAACAGCATCAAGTTCTTCACAGGAGATGTCTTTGGGTACCATGGGTACACCTTTGCAAATCTTGGAGAGCATGAATTTGTAGAGTAAGTGCTGGGAGGAGAGGCCGAAGGGAACATTTCCACAGTTGAGTAGTACTTATGGTAGGAAAGGAACTGCCTCAGTGAAGTAGCTTACTTTACTATAATACTTCAGAACATTCTGAAACAAGGAATTAACAAATTATGAAGTAGAGTTGTTTTGTGGATTCACGTTTTTGTTGTTTTTTCAAGGCATGGTTTCTTTGTTTGGTTGTTCTGGAACTCTGTGGGCCAGGCTAACTTCCAACTCAGAGATCCGCCTACCTCTGCCTACTGAGTGGTAGGATCAAAGGCATGTGCTGCCATGCCTGCCTAGCTTGTGGGTTCAGAATTTTAGGAGACATGTAGACCCCACTTTTGAAAGCAGTGATGTCATCTGAAGCCCAAAGCATACAATGTTGTGGACAAACTGCATCACGTGGGTGTCCCAACTCCTGAACTTGAGGGTTGGAACTCGCGTGCTGTCCAGGAAGGTGTGCTTGGGTTTTAAACACTTGGTCTTTAGCTTTTGCTTGCATGTTGAGAGATAAAGACGGAGTGCCTGCTAGTTAAATGGGTAGTCCTTTGGGCACGTTCAGCCTGCCTTGGAAAAGCTCCAAGGTTCAGAACCTACTATGGAGCATACAGACCTTATCCCTTGTCTTGATCATGAAGCTGCAGAGCTTAATAATTCTCACATGACATGACCTGCAGTGTTTTTATTTACAGCTTTCGAGAGAAAGATGGCAGACGGTAGAGTATTTATAAACCTGTATGCGCTGGGTATTTGGCCCCCCTTCATTATATTTTTACTCTGTTGCTCCCTCTCTTGTCTCAGTCTCTCAGACAGCATCTAAAGCCTGCAGCCTGGCCAGTGAGAGGTACAGTTGGGCACATCTTCCTCTGAGCAGTGTTCTCGTTGTTCAGCTTCTCCAGCAAGTCATTGGCATTTCTCTGGCCCACAAGTTTCTTGGTTGGTGCACACCTTTAATCCCAGCACTTGGGAGACACAGGCAGGTTCTCTGAGTTTTAGGCCAGCCTGATCTATAGAGTAAATTCCAGGATAGCCAGGGCTACACAGAGAAACCCTGTCTCAAACATGAGTGGGGTTGGGAGCGAGCAGCCTTTGACAGGGGCAGACATATTCTCACCGTCTCCTACCCTAGCCACCCAGAAGCTGTAGAAAGGTCTGTTGCTCGGGCTGTAATGAATTGAACGGTTATAGCGAGGGCAGAGCAGGCTGGGCTGCTCTAGCATGAGACTTCCGCAGCAGCAGGAGGAGGAGGAGTTAGGTTCGGCTCTTCAGTTCTTGACTCCTTAAGAATGTTCTCAAAGCAGTCTCTTTGGCTTATGGGAGCATGCTTATGCTAGGCAGTTTGTTTATGCCGTTTTCTTCCCATCATCCCATCAGGGGCAGCTAGTCTAAGAATGGTTAACTGATTTATCAGCTCTCTCCAGTGGCCGAGGTGAGATTTGAGCTCAGATCTCATTGATTCCAAAACCTTTTTGCTCTTTTTTTGTTTGTACATTTGTTTTGTTTGTTGAGGCAGGGTTTCTCTGCATAGCCTTGGCTGTCTAGACTCTAGACCAGGCTGGGTTCAAGCTTAGCTTTTTGCTCATTAGACATAGGTATCCTGTGAGCTGGTAAACATTTTCTAAAATTTACATTCCAGTGATGTAACTTTCTTTTTTCTTTTTTTTTTTCTTTTGGTTTTTCGAGACAGGGTTTCTCTGTGTAGCCCTGGCTGTCCTGGAACTCACTCTGTAGACCATGCTAGCCTCTAACTCTCAAACTCAGAAATCCGCCTGCCTCTGCCTCTGCCTCCCAAGTGCTGGGATTAAAGATGTGCGCCACCACCGCCCGGCGTGATGTAACTTTCAAACTCTTGGCTTCCTCCCATTGTCTGTCTCTAGAGAAAAAACCAAAGTTGCCAAAGTCAGCCAAGGAGTGGAAGATGGACCTGATGCCAAGAGAGCAAAGCTTGATTCATCGGAGACAACCATGATCAAAAAGGTGAGTGAGAGAGCGGAGGTCAGAAGCCCTGGGACCTTATGGGGAGGGCCTTCCATAACTGCCAATGAGGTAAGCCTGGAAGGTGAAGCCTGACAGTAGGCAAGCATTCAGTAGGGTATGGATGGCTACTGCTGATTCCAGCCAGCTCCTCCCACCCAAGAAAATGGGTTTATATTCCAAATGAGATTTTTCCAGAAAATTAGAAATCCTTTACAGTTCTGGCAGCCTTTTCAAATGATTTAAGTACTGTTCTGGTGCATCACCGTGGTGGCCAGGTGACAAGTTTGTTGTACGGATTTGGCATAAAAGGCGTCAGTTTTGACCTCTAGTGTCAGACTGGAGCAGAAGTAGTTATGTCTCCCTCTTATCACCTACTCCCCTCCCAATCATTTTCTTCTTCTACCTTCAGTAAGGTCCTAACTGTGCAGGAGCCAGTTTACATTCACCCCCCACACACACACATACACACACAGATTGGGTTTCTCTGTGTAGCTCTTCACTTTTTCTTTTTACCCTTTATGTATATGGGTGATTTACCTTTATGTATATGTGTGTGCCGTGTGACAGTGACCTATGAGACTGGAAGAGGGTGTCAGACTTTTCTGAGACGGGCATTACAGACAGTTGTGAGCCACAACGTGACTTGAGATGCTCAGTTAATAAAGTGTTTACTGTACAAGTGTGGTGATGAGCAAGTTCATCCCCAGACCTCATGGCGGGCAGCTCATGCCTGTATGTAAACCAGTGCCAGGGAGGTGGAGACCAGCAGATTCCTGGGCCTTGCTGGTTGGTCAGTGTAGTGAGTACCAGGTTCAGTAATAGATCCTGTCTCAGAGAGGTGACGAGTTGGGCTGGAGCTCTGTATTGTAAAGGAGGATCTGGGTACTCCCTGTGACATGTGGACCCAGCATGGTGACTCATGCCTTATAATCCCAGCATTTAGGAAGTAGAGACTGAGGATCAGAAGTTCAAAGCTATTTGCTCTAGTTCCAGGTTAGCCTGGGCTACGTGAGACTTCATCTCAAAACAAACAGAAAGGTCTTTAATATGTGTATAGCAATTGCTGGTGTTGTGTGTGGGTTTTCTTTTTCTTGTTTTTTTTTCCCCCACCAGTATTGGATGTAGAACCTGGGGACTTGGCCTTGTGTTTGGGTTTAGTGCAGTGTTTAAACTTATTTTAGAGGAAGCACTTAGGAAAGCGATCAGAAAGCAATGGTTTCTTTAGCTGGTATTAGACAAGAGAATCTTGCAGTGGGGAAAACAATTTGAAGTGGCTTGTATTGGTTTTGTTAAACTGAGAAATGATGGGACCAAGCCCACATTTACTCTTTGCCCTGTAGATGTCAATGTTGAGAAAGGAAGGCAGCTGGTTGGAGCATCCTTGTAAAGCTGCATTGAGCACTGGAGCTTCTGTGCGGGATCTGCAGCACTGGGACTGAGTTTCCCTGCCAGGCAGAAAGAACTGTGCATTTCCTGTCCCGTACTTCTCTGTGTGTGTTGGGATAGCTTTATCTGTGAGCCCGATGCAGAGGATTATCAAGCTCTAATTTTAGTGTCTATTCACAGGACTGTAATTACCGAGAGTGAACGTTGGAGTTTGGGCCAGACCTGGAGTCTTTCTGAGGCCCAGTCAGGCTTTCTCTGCATGGCTGCTTGAGTTTGGTGGGGAGAGAAATTGTTAACAAATGGAGGAGCACAAAAGGAGCTTTGTGGGCGGCTCTGACAGTTTATAAATCACACCCTCTTACAAGTGTGACACTTGGCCCTGGGTGAAGGGTTTTATGGCTTAAGGGCCTTCTCTGATTGAGGCCCACATTTTGCATTCAAATGGAAAAAGCCCTGGCTTTGTTAGCCATTCACAGCTGGAAGTTTCCCTGGAGTCACTTCTGATGATACCCACTAGGGTGGATATGGAAGCTTCGTTTGGGAGCCACTTTTCTGTCACTATGAGGAGAATGTGGGGACCCCAGGCCAGTACTTGGCAGCCTTGGTGTGCCATTTCTGAGCGCTCTGCCGGCACTTGGCCCTTTGTGCAGTGTGTTCCTTATAGAGGGCAGAAACTGAAGATATCAAAATATTCCCCAGCTGACATTGTTAGTCAGCTGTTACAATGGGACTGTTCAGCTGGGATTCCAGTCCTGAGCTCCTGAGGGTGCACAGCATGCAGCACATTCCTTCTGACAATCCTCTGGATTCCAGACCTTGGCTTTGTGTCTCACCCAGAACACAGGGCAAGGACAGGGTGTGGCAGTGTTTGGCCTGTGGCTTTGCCACCTGGTAGTAACAACTTCTCTATTTGGGCAGAGAGGGCCTTGGGATTCTATTTTACTTATTTATAATTTTTTGAGTGTGTCAGTCCTGGCTGACCTGGAACTCAGAATGTTGACCAGGTTCACCCAGATCTTCCTGCCACCAGGTGAAGTGGCCCTGGAATTTTGAAGTTTTGTCTAGTTAAGTTCCTTCACCCAGATTTTAAGGTTTCCTAAATTGTATAGAATAAATAGTTGAGCTCTACTCAGATTGCAAGATGGGGTGAGGGAAGCAGCTACTTCCTGTTTCCTGTGAAAGGTGTCTGTCAGAGTCCCCCTCTCCTCCCACTTGTCCTGGGTTCAATCAAATGCTGTAAAACCACTTTGGGTTCAAGGTACATGGTGTGCTCCTAAATTAGAAACTTCAGAAAACAAAGAGGAAAAACAGAGCTTGTGGTTTTCACACATCTAGGAAGTTGGGCCTTTTTATCACGCATGTGCCTGTGATAAATAGTGCAGTAGGAAAGGCCCAACTGGAGGCAGCTGGCACTCGGGCTTGTTAGCATCTTTTTGGTACTTTGGTTTTTAGGTTACATGTGTTTATTTTGTGTGTGTCTGTGTCTGGGGCCTGTTAAGTATTGTAGGCTCTTTGACCACTGAGCTACAACTCCATCTTCCCTTTAGAGTTTAGTCCCTGGGCTGGTTAGATGGGTAAAGGACTTGTCATCCAACCACATCATCTAAGTTAGTACTTCAGGACACACATGGTGGGAGGAGAGAATCAACTCCTACAAATTGGCCTCTGACCTCTGTGTATGTATGTGTACACACACAGTAAATGAATAAATAAATGTGCTTTTACAATACTAGATTTGTGGGCTGGAGAGAAGGCTCAGCGGTTAAGAGCACTGACTACTCTTCCAGGAGTCCATTTCCCGGCAACCACATGGTGACTTAACAACCATCTGCAGTGGGGTCTGATGCCTTCTTCTGGTGTGTCTGAAGACAGCGACAGTGTACTCACATACATGAAATAAATAGATCACTAAAAAATGATTAGGAAAGTTTTGTTTATTTTTAATATTTTTAGGCCAGTGCTTAGCACAGTCATAGTTAGAAAACACAGTTCAACGTAATGGCATTTCCTGCAACAGAAAAGAACAAGATTGGCCGGGCGGTGGTGGCGCACGCCTTTAATCCCAGCACTCGGGAGGCAGAGGCAGGCGGATTTCTGAGTTCGAGGCCAGCCTGGTCTACAGAGTGAGTTCCAGGACAGCCAGGGCTATACAGAGAAACCCTGTCTCGAAAAACCAAAAAAAAAAAAAAAAGAAAAGGACAAGATTGAAGGAGATCGTTGACATTTTAAACCTAGATCATGGGATTAACTGTGAGAAGAACTAAATGACTTAGCTTCACAGTACACTAGTTTTCATAGATCAATTACTTAATCTGAGAGAACAGAATTCCAAAGATAAGAAACTTCCTCAGAAACAAAAGTGACTCACTGAATTGTCAAGGCAGGGTCCTCACAGACCAGTGATGGTTATAGCCCTCCTAGGTATCAAGATTGCTTGGTTTAGAGCTGCTGTTACCAACTTTTTTGGATGTCAAATGACTTCACGGGGTCGCTGTTGAAAAACAGATATTTACATTATGATTTATAATAGCCAAATTATAGTTCAGAAGTAGCAATGGAAATAGTTATGTGGCCAGACGGTCATGTGCACACCTTTCATCTCAGCACTGGGGAAGCAGAGGCTGGCAGATAGATCTCTTGAGTTCAACGACAGCCTGGTCTACAGAGCTGAATTCTGGGTCAGTCGAGGCTCCTGAGAAAAACCCTGTGTTGAAAACAAAGAAGAAAGAAAGATAATTTATGGTTGGGGGTCACCACAATATGAGGAAGGGTTGTAGCATTAGGAAGGTTGAGAACTACTGGTTCAGAGACACGGAATGCACTGGTATCTACAAAGTGTTTGGTAGGAGACTGGCGTCAGGTTTTCCAGGGAAGATAGTTAGCGGAGATGGGGAGTGATGTCTTTCTTTATGGGGAAAAATTTTCAGTTCCAACAACATGAACACATAGGATGAACCCTCATCAAGTGTGTGTGTCTGTCTCTTTCTCTGTCTGTGTGTCTATCTGTTCCCAGTCCTCCATTCCTTCCCTTCCCTTTCTCTTTTCTTACCTCTCTTTATAACTGAAAAAGGGTAGCCCTGCTGGGTTTAAACTCAGTCTGTAGCCCAAAGAGGCCTTGTGTTTTCAGTATTTAATGTTTCAGAATGCTGAGTCCAAGGTGTACTGTTGCCACTGTGTCTGATACACGTGTAAGTATGCATATAATTGTTTATTTCATGTACAGAAATATGCCACATCCTTGAAGGTTAAGAGTAATAATAAACTTAGACACCCATGTTCTCAGTGCTGGCATTCTAATCTCCGCCGCCCTTTTCTTTACTCTCTGCTTTATTTTACTCCTGAACAGGTGACTCCAGGGCTCTTGGGATGTGTGAGTAGATTAAAAAGGCACAGAAAGGTCAGACCCCACTCATGTGCACTTGCCTTTGATTTAATCATGTTTGTAAATCTAAAGAACTCAGACTTTGGGGGCTAGAGAGAGAGGGCTCAGCATTTGAGAGCACTTGTTGCTCTTGAAAGGACCCTGGTTCCAGGGGATCCAGCAGGTATGTATGTAGTCTATAACATTCATATACCTAAAGTAAATGGTTTGTTTTTAGTCACTCTTTCAAAAAAAAAAAAAAAAAAAAAATAAAACCACTCTCTGTACAAGAGTTTAAGCATAAGCTAAGAGTCCTAGCTAGCACCATACATACTACCAAACTAAAGAAGCAAGCATGTTTGACATGGCGTGGCTGAGCCTTTCTGCTCTTTGTCAGTGTAAATAATGAATATCAGCAGTTGGTTCTAGTTCCCACCTCCTGTCTGTGTGCATAAGCCTTATCTATAGACCTGCTTCCCGTGTCTCTTCACTACTTCAGAACTGGTTTTCTGTTGCATGGGTGCTGCCACCTGCTTTGTGAGAGAAGCATTATGTCGGTGGGGCCATCTGTTTGTATGTCTGTGGAGCTTTGCTGTCCTTTGTGGTAGTTACTAGACACATATGGCTATTTAATATTAAATACAGTATAAAAACCGACAACTCTAGCACTCAGTAAACACCTGTAGCTGCTGGCGTGGGAGTTGCACACCATGTATTCATGACTACACCATCATAACTAGTCCTCTTGGACAGTACTGCAGGGCTTCCTTCATACTGTTTATATATCTGTGCTGTTGATGGCATTGCCCTGTTAGAGACTGTGCTGTGCTAAGCGTTCTGTTTACGCACATGAGGTTGTATATAATCTACTTGGGCAAATGTGTTCTTTTCTGTAGAGTAAACTTAAGATAAGAAGGGTATCTTCACCTTTTCCAGATTCTGTTTTTGCCAGTTTACATTCCATGGCCAATAGCATGTAGCAGTAATACTTGCTAACCTCAGGCTTTGTTTCAAGTGTGCTGTTGCGTGAAAATTGTCCAACATTTGGTTGTCATAGGGTTGAGTACTTTTTTCTTTTCAGATAGGTTCTCAGTATATAGCTCTGGCTGATCCAGGAAGTAGGTTTATAGCCTAGGCTATAAAGATGGCATTCTCCTGCCTCTGCCTCCCCCGTTCTGGGATTGTAAATAAATATGCATCAGCATGATGGGTACTTTTTTTTTTATATATATATTAAAAAATTGCCACCAGATGGTGGTGGCACATGCCTTTATTCCCAGTACTCAGGAGGCAGAAGACAAATATCTTGAGTCAAGGCCAGCCTGGTCTACAAAGTGAGTTCCAGGACAGCCATGGCTACACAGAGAAACCCTGTCTCGAAAAACCAAAAAATTAGATGTATGGATGGATAGATAAAATTTTCCCCTTTATTTTACGTGTATGGGTATTTTGCCTGCATTGAATGTTTATGTACCACATGCATAGTCTTTTTTTTTGTTTGTTTGATTTTTTTTTTAATTTTGCACAAAACTGACTTATTACTTAGTTTTTAAAACTTTAATGTTGTTTTCTTTTTTTCTTTTTTTTCTTGGATAGTTTACATTTCAGATGTTATCCCCTTTCCCCATTCCCCCCCTCCATAAACCCGCTATCCCATCCTCCCTCCTCCTTTTTACTTTTATACCATTTTAATTACATGCATGTATTCAGGTCAGTTCTAGGTTGAGGGTCTAACAATACAATAGATGCAAATAGTCAAGGAACAAACAAGACAATAAACACAAATAGTCAAAGAACAAGCAATGCAATAAACAAAATTCCAGCTTATCAGGAAGACCAAAATATCTGAGCCTACTTCCTTGTCCTAGCCCAAAGTCATTTTCATGCCTGAATCTGTATAGTTTTCATGGGAGGCTAGAAGGGGGGTCAGACTCCCTGGAACTGGAGTTACAGATGGTAGCAAGCTGTCCTGTGGATGCTGAGAATCAAACCCAGGTCTGACATAAGAGCAGCCAGGGCTGTTTACCACTGAGCCAGCTCTTCGGCCTCTAAGAGGTTGCTTTTTCTGCTATGATGATAAATATTTTGTGGAGAGGTACTTTTGAAAAAATGGTACAAACCCGTTTCTCAGCAGTTTCTAATCATCTGGGGAATGAGTAACTCTATCTACACATTTATGCCGTTCATGCTTACGGGTTATACATGTTTGCACATAGAAGCCACCTGAGATTAATATCAGGCTGTCTGTCGTTCTTGATTGCTATGCTTAATTTATATAATGAGGTCAGGTGTCTTTCTTGAACCCAGAGCCCACCTTGTCAGCTAGTCCAGCTAGCCAGCTTGCCTCTCAAGTGCTGGGATTATAACCCTACACATGCCTAACCAATAACCAGCTACATTTATTTCTCTGTATATTTTCAGTGAGTTCAGTACCTCTCAGCACAATATTCATTCTAGTTTCTTACTGTTCCATGTGTTAATTAATTAATTCTCTTCTGATAGGCAAGCCTAGCTTCCTGGATTGCAGTATTTGCTTGTGGTAGCCACTGGATGGAACCAGTGTTCTGTTACTGTTACTATAGAGATAGCTTTCTTATTCTGTTTACTAGACTTTTCACCCAAGACGCCCATCTCCTGCATGCTTTCTTGGAAATTCCCTTCCCAGAAAATGTGTATGTTTGGGTAATATGGGACTGTTTTGCTCAGGAGAAAGTAAGTGATGTTTGGGTCTTTTTTAATGTTTCTTTTTAATTATGAGTATGTTCAGGTGCCTATGCAGGCCAGAAGCTCATATTCCTTGGAATGGGAATTATATGATTATAGGAACTGGGCATGGAAGCTGGGAATTGAACTTAGTTCCTCTGCAAGAACAGTATGTGTTCTTAACTGCTCTGCCATCTCTTCTAGGCCACATATGCTCTTTTTATTTTAATGTTTTATTCTGTGCGTGCGTGCGTGCATGTGTGTCTACATCTCGTAAGAATCAGTTTTCTTCCATCACGTGGCCTCCAGAGGTGGACCTCAGGTTGTCAAACTTGACCAGCATCTTGACCTTGCTGACCAATCTCTCTGGCCCTGTGTTGTTGTGTTGTTTTTCCTTTTTGGTGTTTCCTAACTTTTAGAGGGAGATCAGTAATACTTTTGCACTAAATAAATTACAATTTAAAATTAATACATCCCACTGAATTTTAGTTTGATTTGGGGCTAGGTTAGTGGTAGAGCATTTGCTCAGCAGTTGTGATGCCATGGCCAACCCCAGTACAAGACAAGAGGTAATGTGCTTTAGTGCATGACTGATGCATATATAGTCCTGCCACAGGACCTTTGCAAATGCTGTTTCTGTTTCTGTAGCCTGGACCTTTTGTCCCACCCCTTACTCTTTTTCATACTCTCAACATCAAACCATTGTACTGGGAAATATTTAAATTTTTGTTTTCTTCATAATTAAAGAATGCTCTGTTTAATACCTTTTGTAGTTTTTTAGATTGAGTCTTGCTATGTAGTAGCTCAAGCTGGCTCTCCATCTCCTGCCTCAAGCCCTTGGGTTCCAGAATTAAAGGCTTATGTACCACTTCATCCAGTTGAGTCTGAGAGGCTGAAACAGAAGGATCTCTGCAAGTTTGAGGTCAGCCTGCTCTAAATAGTGAGACCAAAATGAAACAGGTCTTAGGAGGTTGGCTGTGCCATCTTCCTACATAGGGAGCACATGTCCGTCCCTGTTCAGAGTATGAAGGAGGTATGTCTTAGGTTTTAGTGGGCACTGGCTTTGAATGTTTAAATTTGTGTGGCCTGGAAAGTGTTCCTGCTCTGATTCAAAGCAGCATACTTACTTGTAAGCATTCTGCCTTTTTCCCACAGAAAGTGCTTTTCTGCCCTGTAAAAGAAGCGCTGGAAGTGGACTGGAGTGGAGAGAAAGCCAAGGCTGCCCTGAAGCGTACTGCCCCAGACTACTTTCTGCTGCAAGGTGAGATCTGGAGATGGAGCCGCCCCAGCCAGGCTTGTGCTATGGCCCAGTGTTAAAGCTGAGTGGGTTCCTCTGTCTCCTCACTAAGGTCTGCTTTCTGGTGACTTTCTAAAGCTGTTGGAATGCCTTGTTTTTTACAGTTGAGCCTGAGGTGACTGCAAGCTCTCTAGCATCTTTTCACACTGCCCCTTCAGAACTGGTCTTAACTCCCCCCCCACCCCCTTAGTCTCCTGACAAGAGTTTTGAATGTTTTTCTGTCTTTGAGCTGAGTTGTTTGCTTTTTACCTTTTGCAGTGAGGCCTCACAGAAGAGCCCAGGTTGAACTTGAGGTGATCCTCCTGCCTCAGTCTCCCATATTTACCATTTATCCTGCCTGGTTTCTCCCTCGCTGAATGAGTTCAGGGATTTGATAGGAAAATACTGGTTGACCTCTCAGTGTTGCTTCTGTCCCTGACAGTTTCAATTGTTTACTTTTAATTTTTATTTTGTTGTTGAGACAGAGTTTCAGTATATAACATTGGTCTGGAATTAAGCAGGCCTTGAACTCACAGGTCCCCCTGCCCCCCTTTTAAAGATTTTTGCTGCTATATATGTACATGCATAGTCTATGTAAAAGTACAGGGCATGTATGTTTGCTATTCACAGAATACTGAGGAGTGTGTTAGCTCTCCTCTTCTGATGCTTGTGAGCCACCTTGTCAATGTAGGAACCAAACTTAAGTCCTTTGCAAGAACAGCAGGTGCTCTTAATTGCTGAGCACTTAATTCCAGCCCCATCAAGGTTCAATTTTTAAAATACCACTTAAAATTAATTGTTAGGGCATGGTAACACAGGCCTATAATTCTAGCTAGCACTTGGGATTCAGACACAGTAAGATCATCAAACTCATTTTCAGCTATCTCACACATTTGAGGATAGCCTATGCTACATGAAATGCGGTCTCAAAATCAGGAAAAGGACACAGGATAGGAAAATTTAGCATGTGAACTATTTTAAAAGCCTGAATGTCGATTCATACAGAAATATTTAAGTGGGTTAAGTAGGAATGAGTGTTAGGCATGTGAGAAATGCCTTCCCTAAGGACTGTGGGACCCTGTGTGGAAGAAGTGCCAGCTGCACTGTGAGCAGCACCTGCTCCTCTGGGCCAGGGTTGCCTGGAAGCCCTGTATATGGCATAGGAAGCTAAAGTCACTAGTTTGCAGCATTTGTGTGTATGATGAAACCCTTTCTAGTAATTGCTTATGAAGCAGTCCCTGAGTCTGTCCTGGTCTGCCTGGGTCTGGTAGGGTGGTTCTAGTTCTGGTTGTTGGAATGCATTGGGGAGCATTTCTATATCTATCTAGTAGAGAAGAAGTGAGTGATATCACTCAACATCCTCCAGCAGCTCCCATGGCAGAGATTGAACCACTAGAAATGACAGTGCAAGCTCTTCCCTCACACAGTCCTAGCTCTGGGGAGTTTGACACAGGAGAATTACAAGTTCAAGGCTAGCCTCAGAAACAGTGAGTCTGTGTCACAAAGAAAAAGAATAGGAAAGAAAACAGGATGTCATATCTGAGGAGAATGGCAATTTCCAGGGTGGCCTCCCATCTGTCTCAAGATTACAACACTCTCCTAAGGTGGGTTACATGGTCCTCGGTTTGTTCTTTCATTTCTTTCATTTATTTACCTCATTTATCTGTCTGTCCTTCTATTTATTTTCGGTTTCTTTTTGTAGCTCTGGGTGTCCTGGAACTTGATTTGTAGACCAGGATGGCCTCAAACTCAGCACTTCCTGCTTTGCTTCATAGTGTTGGGATTAAAGGCATGTACCACCACGTCTGGCTGTTCGTTGTTATTTATTTTCTTGATAAGGATCTTAGTGTAGACCCAGCTGGCCTCAAACGCACCTGTACAGTTGAGGATGACCTCGAATTTTTCTCAGATAGTAGAGTTACAGGCATGTGCCTCTGTTGCCCAGTTTTTATGGCTACTTTGGATGAATCCAGGGCTTTGTGCATTCTTGGATCCAGCCCTTTGAAGTCTGGGTGAGCTTTGTGTGAGACTGGGTACCAAGAGCATCCAGGTGCCTGGGCTTGGAGGGACAGACAGTTATCCAGCAAGAAACAAGAGCTGCCTGGTTTTGGATTTGGTTTTCCATAACTACATAGCCCAGGCTAACCACCAACTTGCAGTACTGCTTCAGTGTTCCAAGTGCTGGCATTTCAAGTATGTGTCACTATACCTGACATTAACTCTAGTGTCATGATCATGTGGCATCCTATCATGTATGGTTTTTTTGAGACAGGCTCTCACTATGTAGCTTTGGCAGCCCTAGAACTTACTATGTAGACCAGGCTGACCTTGAACTCACAGAGTATCTGCCTCTGCTTCCCAAGTGCTACTAGACCAGATGTTTGGAATAAAAACTGACCTAACATTTCCGGGCTGTTCTGCCATTTTTCTTAGATGAGTGATCCTGAGGTAAGGCCTACAACTCCATTCATTAACAATTTTGAAAGGGGCTTGGGGTCGAGTACCTAAGTATTGAACAGTTGCCTAGCGTATCCAAGGTCTTCACGTTCAATCCCCAGCTACACAAAGGAGGAAAGTTTTTGGAAGAGAACAAAGAGGAAAAGTACTACAGTGTGGGGCTGTATTCTTCAAACTGCCACCTTGTTACCTTTCCTGTAACGTGCACCCTGAGGACCTTACCCTATTGAGTGCTGTGAGGACCTTGCTCTTAGGGAGTGGCTGTTGGTTACCAAAGCCTGTTGCTTTTCCATGATGCGGTACTGCCAGCTACTTCCTTGTCAGTCTATAAACAGTGAGCAGTCAGGGGTGGGGTTCACCAATAATCCCCACACTGCGAAGCAGAGGTAAGAGGATTGCAGTGACTGTGAGGAGAGCCTGGCCTACAGTTTAAAAAACAAAATGAAAAACAAAACAAAAAAACTCAAGAAACTGGGGAAAGGGAGTTAAAAGTAGATCGGGCAAAAAAATCATTGTAATAATTGACTCTAGGACTAACTGGAAGATCTGTATTGAACTGTTTTTTTGTTTGTTTGTTTTTTATATCTGTGGTACTGAAGATTCAACATATGTGACCTCACATTTGTTAGACAAGCTCTTTACTACTAAGTAACATTTCCAGCCCTTTGTTTTGTTTTTTTATTGTTGGTTGGGTTTTGTTGTTGTTGTTGTTGTTGGTTTGTTTAGGGTTTCTCTCTGATTTCTCTGTGTATCCCTGACTGTCCTAGAACTCAACTCTGTAGACCTGAGATCTGCCTGTTGTTTGTTTGTTTTCTTACATGAGTACACTGTAGCTGTCTTCAGACACACCAGAAGAGGGCATCAGATCCCATTATAGATGGTTATGAGACAACATGTGGTTGCTGGGAATTGAACTCAGGACCTCAGGAAGTGTACTTAACCTCTGAGCCATCTCTGGCAACCCTATTGGTTTTTTGAGAAGTATACTTAATGAAACACAGCCTGGTAGCACGGGACAGTAATCCCAGGTTCTTGGGAGACTGAAGCGGGGAGATAGCAAATTCAAGGTCTCTAAACTATAACACGATCTCAAAGGTCAGCCTTGACAAGTTAATAATACCTTGTCTCAAAATAAGAAGGATAAAACTGGGGGGTGTGCCGGGCGGTGGTGTCTCACGCCTTTAATTCCAGCACTTGGGAGGCAGAGGCAGGTGGAGTTTGAGACCAGCCTGCTCTACAAAGTGAGTTCCAGGATAGCCAGGGCTATACAGAGAAACCCTGTCTCAAAAAAAAAAAAAAAAAAAACCTGGGGGATGCAGTGGTCCAGTGATTCATAAACAGCATCAAAAAGAAACAAACACACATTTAAATAGACCAGATGCAAAAAGTAAATGATGTGGTAAGTCATATATCAGCAGAGTTGTTTGAAGTATAAAAATGTACAAAGATAAATACAAATGAACTCACATTTTATTAGGTTGTTTAGAATTCTGATTGAAGAAACTGGTCAGTTCATTTCTTCCTGTCATATCATAGCTGAGTTAAACAAACTCCCTAAAAGCTGAATTGCTACCTGCCCCCCTCGAGGCAGGGTTGTAGCCCAGGCTACATAGAAAATTCGCTTTCCTGGAATTTGCTCTGTAGACCAGGCTAGCCTTGAACTTGGAGATTATGAGTGTCGGAATCAAAGTTGAGCGCCACTCCCACTCAGCAGCAGATTGATTTCTTTACTCAACATTAACCACAGTTAATGGGAAGGATGCTCAGCAGAAAACCAGTATATACATGGAAGCTGTTCTGCTGTCCTGAGAAGTGGAATGAGGTCAGTGTAGGTGGGAGTTCTTGGTTGGGGACTGGAGATGTGGCTGCTCAGTGGTTAGTGTTAGATTTTCTCATGTAGCTTAGACAGATAATGCCAGACCAAACAGTTCCCCGAGGGGGAAGTGGTTTATTCAGGGCAGAGGGAAGAGAGCGAGAGGAGAGAAAGCAGAGAGGTAGAGGAGTAGAGGCCGGCCATGACCGCGTGGAGAGAGGGGGAAGAGAAGGAGGGAGGGGGCAGAGGACAACCTACAGGCGTGGGATCGAGGGAGCAAAAGAGAGGAAGGGGTAAGCAGCCCCTTTTATAGTTGGCAGGCCTACCTGGCTGTTGCCAGGTGACTGTGGAGGTGGAGTTTAGATAGAATACTAACAGTTAGGAGCGCTGGTTCCTCTCAAAGAGGGTTGGGGTTCAGTTCCCAACACCCATGTAGTGGCTCATAACTATCCATAACTCCAGTTCCAGGCTATCCAACACTCTTCTGATCTCTGTGAGCACCAGACACACAAGTAGTGCACAGACTACATGTAGGCAAAACACTCATACATATATAAATCTATTTTGCTCATTAACTAAAGAAAAAATTATGATTATTGTAATGAAGAAATTAAGAAAGATACATTTCTGTGAACTTAAGAGAAGGCATTGAGCTAAGGCTGGGACTCAGTGGTAGCGTGCTTAACTTCTTTTGCATGAAGCTCTAGGTTCAACC